CCCCCACACTGGCTGTCAAGAGGGACCAGGTAACACAACCTGGAAGTGAAGGGAAGTTCATGCCCCATAGAGTGAACCTGGACCAAAGATGGAAAGGAGACCCAAGGGTATTGGCCAATAAATTCTACCCCGCTCCTCCCTCCTGTGGGTCATTGGTGTGGGATGCCCTGCCAGAGATGTCCCATGCCACCAAGAAGCCATCTGTGTTTTATCGTGAGGCTATGTCCAATTTGTTAACAAGTATTCCCTTGGTTGTCCTTCTGTCTCATTTTTCCAACCCCGCCATTGCACTTTCCAAAGAAGCATTAGCAGATAAGCTTTGCCATAGACTGTCTTCTAGGGAATCCAGCCACAGTGACCCACTGACCTGAGAATAACACTCAGGACCCATTAATGTGATTGGTTTGTTTCTGAGTTGGCCTAAGCAGGTATATCACTGCCTATCCCCACACCTTCTAAAACCCCAGAGGTCAGCCCTTGTTTCTGCCTTGAAGGAGAACAGTTTCAGACCTATAGATCTATGGAAAATATTTATTCAAAAGGGAGCCATCACAGTACTACTAACAAGAGGAACTAAAAAAGACGGAAACAATCTAAGCCTCAAAACAATGGAGCATTTTTTAAAATAAATGATATGTTCTATAATAAAGTCTAGATACATATTAACAATGTTATAGACAAATTTATTGGCATAAACTTATTAATAATGTGTCAATTGAAAAAATAAAACTAAGTACAGCATGATCTCACTTTTGCAAGAAATACCTATGTGTTCCCCAGAGTAAGTGACATTTGAGCTATATGTTGAAGGATGTGTGAGAATTAGTATATGTATATATATATATGTCTTTGTATAGAAAAATGGGAGGAGGTTACACACCAAATGCAAACAGAGGTTGTCATTTGGTGATAGGGTTATGAGTGAGTTTTCCTTTATTCTTTTTTTTATTATTGATTTTTTTTAAGAGAGAGAGAAACATTGATGTAAGTAACATATATCAGCTGCCTCCCTCACACACCCTGACCAGGGATTGAATCCGTAATTCTTTATACTTATTAGTGTTTAACTTTTTTCTTCTATAAAATATATATTAATTGTGATTTTTTTTAATTTAAAAGGTAAAAGTATCCTGGACCTGGTACTCACAAATGCTCTTTCTGGTAGCAACATGCTGTCACTCCCCAGGGAGACTCTGGAAGACTAAGGATAACAGAAACTTGTATAGGCTTTTATTTGAGGTGAGAATTATTAAGAGGATCTGGTTTGTAATTGTTCAACAAACCGTTATATTTGTTGAAGGACAAGGGGGTATGTCTATATCTCTAACAAGAAAGAGTTTATAGCATTGCTGTTGTAACTAACTTCTGTGAGGCAGCTCATCCAGCATGCCCATACATTCCATTACTTTATTGTAGTTAGTAATTGTACTACGCCGAAAATAAATATGTTGCCCCTTGAATACTCCTTTTGATATGCTTTTCAGTTCTTGAGAATTTTTCAGAATAAATCATTGCATTGAATTTTTAAGAATAAATCATTACACAGGATGAGGCAAATGGTGGGTAGTTCACTTATTCAACATACACTAAGCTTTGTCCATTTTTCAGAAACTAAGCTGGGTCCTGGGGAATCAGAAGTTGAAGACGCCAACTCCTCCTTCAGTGAGTTGGTAGGTGACAAGGACCAGAGAACTGATGTCTGCAGTTGACTCTAGTGGACATTCTAAGCCCAGGGTTCTTCTATGCCACGAGGGCATCAGGACAGTTTGAGGGACATGAATGGTCAAGAGATGCCTCCCCAGAGTAAGCGGCATTTGAGCTGTATGTTGAAGAAGGTGTGGGAATTGGCCACAGGAAATGAGAAGGGCACTCCCAGCAGAGGCCAGGAGATGGAGAAGAAAGCAGATCCAGGGGTTAGAAAAAGATAAATCTGTGGATCCGTGCTGCCCAGAACTATCTGCAATGATGAAAAAGTGCTGTCCAAAACAGTGGCTATTGAACAATCAAGAAACTGAAATCTTAATTTTATTTCATTTTTTAAGTTTCAATTTAAATAGACACATCTGACCACCAGCTACTGTAGTTTTTTTAGACCACATATGATTAACATACAAAAAGCTGTATAAAACTGATCTATTCAACTTGATAAGTTTGGAGATAAGTATATTACCTGTGAAACAATCAACACATCTATGCCATAAACATCTCTATCAAAAGTTTCCTCCTGCTCTCTTTACTTATTATTATTTTGTGTGTGATGAGATCACCTGTGGCTACTGTATTGAACCGCACAGCTCTAGATGGGATCACTACTCTAGACGTTTTTCACTAGTGAGTTTCATTTTCATTTTAAAGGTAAAAAGAAGTCCGTGCAAAATTTCAAAACAGAGTAATTACATGAGTAGACTTAAAAGAAATATTACTGGCAAATTTGGAAGCAAAGTAATCTGGGCAGTTTTTAACATATGTTCACTTTCTGAAACCTTCTTAGAGAAGATGACGAAAAAGGAAGCATATAAAACAAACATGGCCATAAAAATCCCTTTGAAAATGATTTGATAGAGGAAATGACCAATTAGCTAACTACAGAGCAATAAGTAAAAGGTAACTATCACAGTAGGAAATTGAGTAGTTGGCTTTAATGAACCATTCCCTAGAGCCACATACAAATGGCCAATTAAACACGTAAAAGTGTTCAACTTCACTAGTATTCAAAGAAGTTTCAATGAAAATGAGTTTCCTACTTTTCAGCTGCCTGGTTAGTTTTACTTTCAAGACAGTATATTGTTGAGGATATAGATAAAGTCACTCTCTTGAGTGTCTTTGGGAAAGTACATTGATACATCTTTTCTGGAGGTCAGTTTGGCAATATTTTAGCAAAAGACTTAAAAATGGCTAAATCCTGTCAGCCAGCTATTCCATTTCTGGGAATTTTCCACAAAGGAGTGATTGGGGATTCTTGTACAAGGTATTCATGTCTCTATTACATACAACATAGTTAAGAAAAAAAAAGAGGAGAGGAAGAAACTTTCTTCTACCCTTCTAGGTGCTTTCGTCTGGTCTAATAATTAAATCTGCAAGAGACAGAGTAACAAGAGAAAAATAACCAAACGTAATCACATATGTAGGTACAGGAAACCCCATATACATGAGAGATTCAGAGATCCCACATACATGAGAGGTTCGGAGCCAGAAAGGTTAGATGAGGTGTACATGACATCTTGAGCTAAGGAATGAGTTAAGGCAACTGTGGCTTCAGAGGGAAGGAGGGTAAGAAGAGCAGATGTTCAGTAATTAGGTGTTTGCCCTGCCATAAGTTATAAACAAAAGTTGACTTTGGTAATAACTCTTATCATGGGCAAGGCCCCTAATTTAAACTCTTCTAGGTAGTTGGTGGGGTGGAGGCAGAAGCTTCTCTTGAGCCCACACCCACATACCAAAGTGGCACATCTTGGGGAGGCCTGTTCTGAACACCTTTCAGTGACAACAACCTAACTGTGGTTCCCAATAGATTTATTAAGTAAATTATGATACATCTATACAACTACCCAGCCATTAAATGTCACAATGCGTGTGATTACTTCACTGCATAAGGGAAATAAATGTGTGAGATATATATATATATATATATATATATTTTCAGTGGAATAGTAAAAAAATGGAGGAATGGAAAAAATAAAATACTTGAGGGATATTCACCAAAATGTTAATGGTGGTTATCATTTAGTACTGTGATTTTCTTCTTTATGTTTCTCTGTATTGTATAATTTTTCACAATGAAGATCTATGACATTTAAAAGAGAAAAGCATCTTTTTAAGTTGAAGTTGTTAATTATGTCGGTAGTGTTTAACTGTAACAGCAGTGATTGGAAGTATATAGAAGTACATAATTGCCACACTTCTGCTACATGACATACAATAATGAAAGTGGTGGCAGGCATAATCTAGGTTGCGTACAGTAGAGCTTTTAAAGAGGCTAAGTGTCTTTGTAGTTCTTTCCAGAAACTCTTCCCTGCTGTTGGTAGCAGCAGAAGTGCTTTCAGGAATCTAGATAAAGTGTTTTCAACCACAGGTAATTATGTATATGAAGAGGACCTTGCAGCCAGATATGTAGATGGTTTATATAAGCAGGAGGAAGTTTCCCTTTGTTAGGTTCTTCCTAATATTTTAACTCAGATGTATCTGACAAAGAAGAGAGTAGAATGGCAAAGAGAGCTTTAACAAGAGACCAAATAATCAGAAACTTCAGCTAATCAGAAATTCTGCCTTTGATTCTTAGGAAACAATTGGAAATTTCAAGGAAGTGACTGAATTAAGTGCTGGTCCATCCTTGCTGCTTGACACAGTCACTACAGGGAAGAAACATCTGCACAGTTTATGTTTCAAGGGACCTGGCGTATATGGCATACTGTTCTTAATATGTTTGCTCCCCTTCTTAAGCGCTATGTGTTTTAACCAAGGTCACCTCTCTGAGAAAGGTTGTTTCCCCAGGTGGGGATTTTTATCAGTAAAACCCCTTAACTAAGTACCAGGCGGATAGTTAATCACTTTAACTATGAACAAACATGCTTAAACTACATAATCTTTACTCCCTGGAATGGAGATAAGAAACACCCTAACCTTTGGAATAGAATGGATAGGATTAAAATCAACTGGTATAAATACAGATGTAACAGGAGAAATAAAGACAGAACCTGGCTGGAGAACCTATCGAGAGAACATGGCTACAGAACTTGCCTGGAGAACCTGGAGAGAGAACCTGGCTATGATGATCAACTGAATGCTGCCTCTGTGTCTTTCAGTCTTCGCCGACTCCGTCCACACCTTTGGGAACCCCTGTACCTGCTGGGGTTGGACCCCAACAATTAGCAACATCTCTACACTCAAAGGAAGGAAGTGGATCCTCACCCTCAGGGGACTGTTGCAGGAGCCAGGGTAGAATTGGGGGAGCTTCAGGAACAAAAAGGGTGACCGAGCTGCTGACAAGAAGTAAAGAAGCTCTGCTTCCACCACCCCCGTGAGGACCCAGGACCCGGCCTGCCGACCGGGAAACCAGCCTTCCCCCGCATGATGGACGAGGAGAGCCTCCAGACCGCGCTCCGGACCTACGGCGCCCAGCTGCAGCAGGTGGAGCTGGCCCTGGGTGCCGGCCTGGATCCCGCCGAGCTGGCCGACCTGCGCCAGCTCCAGGGAGACCTGAAGGAGCTGATCCAGCTCACCGAAGCCAGCCTGGTGTCTGTCCAGAAGAGCAAGCTGCTGGCCACCCTGGACGGAGAGCGCCCAGAGCAGGACGACGCCGAGTACCTGGCTTTCCAGAAGGCTGTTGCTGAAGCAGTGGAGGCGCCAGTAGCCCCCAGGGCAGAACTGGACACTGTACCTGAAAGAGGGGCTGGACCAGGACCCAGCCAGCCTGGACTGGAGGAGGATGAAGGGGAGGACACGGAGGATGAGGGAGAGCTGAGTGGGACGAAGGTGAACGCCCCCTACCACAGTTCCTGGGGCACCCTGGAGTATCACAACGCCATGATCGTGGGCACGGAAGAGGCAGAGGACGGCTCCGCGGGTGTGCGGGTCCTCTACCTGTACCCCACCCACAAGTCCCTGAAGCCCTGTCCCTTCTTCCTGGAGGGCAAGTGCCGCTTCCTGGACAATTGCAGGTTCTCCCACGGGCAGGTGGTCTCTGTGGATGAGCTGCGCCCCTTCCAGGACCCGGACCTGAGCTCCCTGCAGGCTGGTTCTGCATGTCTGGCCAAGCAACCAGATGGTCTCTGGTACCCAGCACGGATCACTGATATGGACAGCGGCTACTACACAGTCAAGTTTGACTCGCTGCTGTTGAAGGAGGCCGTTTTGGAGGGGGACAGCATCCTTCCCCCACTGCGCCCAGAGCCTGCAGTATCCTCTGACTCAGACAGTGGTGACCCGGACGATTCCAGCTATGCCAGAGGTACAGGGCAAGGAGCATCTTGGGCAGCAGTCTCCCTAGGCAGTTCCTGGCTGGTGGGGACCTTGACCACCTAAGCAGAAAGGCAGAGAGCATGACCGCGGGTGAGGGGGGCTCTGCCTAGTGCATGACGCACAGCAGGGGGCACTAGTTGGGCCTGGAGAGACAGGGAGGCCCCCACAGGAGGTGGGAGGATGAAAGCATGTGTGAGGGGTCTGGGCAGGTCCGCAAACCTGCAGACGCAAAGACCTGTCCCTTGTCATCAAGGAGTTGTGTGCAAACATGTCCCCCATGGTGCAACCTGAGGTTGGGCCACTGCTGGGGAGGCCCAGCTGAACAGAGAGCAGGAAGCAGCAGCTCCTTCTGGAGCTTCCGCTCGGGGTCTGGGGTCGAGTGGTGGATGGGGGGGTGTGTAGACAGCCATGGGCGGGGGAGCTTCAGTGTCCAGCCCCCTGAGGGGTCAGTGAGGAAGAAGACGGGAGGCATCCCTGGGTGGATAAAGGGGGGAGAGAAATATCAATGTGAGAGAGACACATCGATTGGTTACCTCCCACCCATGCCCCGACCAGGACCGGGGTTCAAGCCTGCAATCCAGGTAAGTGCCCTTGACCGGGATCAAACCTGGGACCCTCCAGTCCACAGGCTGATGCTCTGTCCACTGAGCCAAACTGGCTAGGGCAGTCTTCCTATTTCTTTTTTTTAATATATATATTTTTATTTATTTCAGAAAGGAAGGGAGAGAGAGAGATAGAAACGAATAGGGCTCGTCTCCAGCTCCCACAGCCTCTGGAAGACTTGCTGTCCTCCAATAACTAGATGCTGACAGAAGAGGGGCCACCCCCAAACCAGACCCCACGGTCAGCCTATTGCCAGGCTGGGGTGTGCGGACATTGCTGAGTGGAGATTGGGTACAGGGGTCACGTACATAAGGACACATATGTAATACCTTGATCAATAAATAAAGAAAAAAACAGATTAAAGTATGTTCTATATACTCTACTTACCATGAAGAAGGAGTGAAGAATGGAGGAAGGGAGGGGGGGGAATGAATGAAGGGAGGGAGGGAGAGTGACTGTATCCAAAGACACACGTGTCGGCATCAGAGATCTGGCTTCCCAGGGTCTGGCACATCTTTGTGCAGTCTGGTCAAATGCCCAGTACAATAGTCCCCCCTTATCTCTGGGAGATACACTTCCAGACCCCCAGTGAACAGCTGAAACTGCAGGTAGTACCAAGCCCTACATATACTATGTTTTTTCCTTTACATATATCTTATGATGGAGTTTAATTTATAAATTAGGCACAGTAGCTCTGGCCAGTGTGGCTCAGTTGGATGAGTGTTGTCCCATGCACAGAAAGGAAGGTCGCCAGTTCAATCCCTGGCCAGGCACATGCCCAGGTTGTGAGTTCGATACCCAGTCAGGGTGCATGAAGGAGTCAAGGGATGGATGTTTTTCTCTCTCCCTCTCCTTCTCTCTTCCTCTCTCTCTAAAATTAATAAAAACGTATTTTTAAATAGGTACAGTAAGAAATTAACAATTAATAATAAAATAGAAAATTATAACAATATACTGTAATAAGTATAATGTGAATGTGGCCTCTCTCTCTCTCTCTATCTCTCTCTCTCATAATTGACCTGATAACTGAGATGGCTACTAAGTGACTAACAGTAGGTGCACTGGATGATTTACATCCCAGGCCAGGACAGCACAAGATTTTATCATGCTACTCAGTACAGCATCCAGTTTAAAACCTATGAATTATTTATTTCTTGAATTTTTGCATTTAATATTTTCAGATTGAAGTTGAAGACAGGTAACTGAAACCACAGAAAGTGAACCCATGGATAAGGGGCGGGGGTGGGGGGGATTGTATCATGCTCTGTCTGGTATTGCCCTGGGGAGTGAGAGGCCTACCGCAGGGCATCTCTCCTCTAGCTGCCTGGGAGGCCACTGGACTTCCCAAGGCATTCTCATTCCTCCTCCTGTCAGTCACTTCCCCTATCCTAGCATCACAGCAGGAGACTGCTCCTGAATCTCCCCTCAATGCCCTTCTTCTTCTTCTTCTTCTTCTTCTTCTTTTTCTTCTTCTTCTTCTTCGCTGTCATCATCGTCCTCATCGTCGTCGTCCTCATCATCATCATTGTTGTCGTTGTGGTCGTCATGGTCGTCATCATCATCATTATCATTGTTACTGTTAATCCTCACCCAGAGTTCTTTACCAGGGGTCTGGGCACAACTTAACTGATACTGTTATATGGAAAATAGATGTCTCCCCCAAACTTCGGTGACCCCTCATCTCTCTATCTGACTGTGGTGGTTTTCCCATACATCAGGGACCCATCGCCTCACTTTTACACACTACCCCTCAAATGGACCAAGAAGGTCCTGTCCTCCCTGCATTTCTAATATGGGCTCTTTTCTGATCCTTTTTGAACTTAACATGTTTCTGAGATAATTGACCCTTAACTTTGCAAAAAGGGGATATACTTAACTTTACATGGTAAATACAGTCTGGGAAAACTATTAGGAAATCAAATATCTGTTTAACATAAATAACTAGTGAGAGAGAGTAGGTAAGTGGAAAGATCGCAGGCTTTGGAATGAGTGAGAAGTGCTTTCCCTCCCACACTTGGGAACTGTGAGATCATGGCCTGGTTTCCTAACCTCTGTGAGCCTCCATTTCCTCATCCATCAAAGAGAAAATGAATTGGAGCTTCCTAGGGTGGTCAGGAGGATCAAATGACTTAATGCCTGTCAAGTGCTGGCAGGTAATAGGTAACAAGGCTTCCAAAAATTTAATTCTGTTTTTTCCCTCCCCCTTTTCCTATCGGTGGCTATAAACAGATTCCCTGGAGAATTCAAATGTACAGTGTAGAATATTTATGTAAGTTCCATGAAAGCCGGAACTTGTCTGTATCCTCAAGGCCTAGTGCTTAGCACACAGTTGATGTTTAATAAATATTTGTTGAATGAATGAATGAATGAATGAATGAATGTGAATAATGTACTACCACCTTCTATTGTTTCTTTGACACTGGTTGATGACCTATGGCACTGTGTTTCCAAACAGTGCTCTCTCTGCCCTTGCCTGTGAAAACGACTGGTACCTGCTCTTGGATGAATTCCTTAGCCTAAGGGCACTTCACCTAAAGTAAGTCCTATTTTTTTTAAACATATTTTTATTGATTTCAGAGAGGAAGGGAGAGGGATAGAAAGATAGAAACATCAATGATGAGAGAGAATCATTGATCAGCTGCCTCCTGTATGCCCCCTACTGGGGATCAAGCCCGAAACCTGGGCATGTGCCCTTGACTGGAATCGAACCTGGACCCTTCAGTCCACAGGCTAACGCTCTATCCACTGAGCCAAACCAGCTAGGGCATGAAATAAGTCCTATGAAGCAAGCTTGTTGCCTGATGGACTGCCCTGCTTCTGCACAGTGCCCTCTGTCTGTGCAGGGAGGCGGGCCGCAGCTCCGTGCCGCTCTCACAGCCCAAGCTCTGGCCAAGCATCCCTGGCAAAGTCATTCTGAAGGTGAGAAGAGCCCTGGCCTCAGAGCCAATTAAGTCATCAAGCACAGAGGACCTCAGGCCCATGCTACTTTTAGAGGCCCACAACAATGTTTTAATCTTAGTTTCTTTTATTTATTTATGAAGCAAAGGTCCCATGAAGGGAAAAAAATGACCAGGGAGGGCACTTGAAAGTCATAGTGTGGTCCTGGGAGTCCCGAGCAGAAGAGCGCCACTAGCCATACAGGCTGCAGGCCTGGGCGGGGCTGCTCCTTCCAGCACCTTCCAGGAGAAAAGCAAGCTCTGCAGGGAGGAAGGCAAACCTCTGTTTGGAGGCAGAAGGGCTTCCTAACCTCCCTGGCCTCTTAGAAGGGCACATTCTAGTACAGTATACCTTCCTCCCGGGCCCAAAATAAGGGAACCGCAGCCAGCTCTCGCTCTGTCTTCTCCCAAAGAAGGCAAACCCAGTGTGACCTCATCCCCTGAATCACAAGTAGAGGGGGCTCATCAATGACTTCATTTCCTTTTCCCTCAAAAGTCAAGTCCAAGGGTGACCTCCCCTCAAATCTGGCAAGACTGGGCTTGATGTCACCGCCCTCTCCCTGCCAAGGCCTCTCTTCCGCCTGCCTGGCTGATGACACATTTCCACCCAGACGGCTTCTCAGAAGCGGCTCTGCCTGTAGGTGTGGGAGTCTGGCTGGACGCTGCTTCCTCTTTGCCACAGGGCAAGCCCTCTAGCTGAAATGGCACTCCAGTCAGTGAGGGTGACAAACGGGTGACTCAGCCCCGAGGCGGACATATTTATCCAAGGCCCCACAGTAAAGAAGGGGTTTTTAGGCAGGCCTGGAGGGCAGGATGCGCCAACTCAGGATGATAAACTCAAAAGCAAAAGGGGAAGCCCAGAGCTGAGGAATTCCTCGAAAAGAATGCACTACCTTGGCCCGGAGGCCAAGGCTGCTAGAGCTGGCAGGGCTGCCAGGCAGGGACGGCCTCACCCTGCAGCAGCTATGACCCTGCAAGCGCTCGCTCAGCAGCCCGGCCACCTATCTGCCCGGGTTTCCCGCGTGTCCTTCTGGCCTTCTCTGCAGGCGCTGGGTCCACCATCTGTAGGAGGGAGGACGGTAGGCCCCGGGTGTGCATGGGGACTCAGCATCCAGTGAGCAATGCCATTTGCATCTGCAGCCCAGATTGAATGCATGAGGAGGAGAGGACAGGAAAGAAGTTAACTCTGTAAACAGGAAGTTGAAGGGGATGTAATAGTGGGGGAAGCTGTACATAGGAACATAAAACTGCTCTAAAAAGTCTGTATTTTTAAATTGAGATTTTTTTTTTTAAGTCTGTCCTATGGCCACAAAACCCGCTTAGAATCATGAGGATGGTTCATTCTAGCTTAAGGGGGAGACCAGGTAAGCAGGCCGACTAACCATCAGGATTGTAGGAGCCACAGCAAGGTCACCTCTCCTTTTCCTCACGCCTTTGGCACAGCCCAGGGTGTCACGATTCCTTCACTGTGTACAATTGCTTCGAACGCTACAGCTAGGAAGAGAGAGCAAATAGTTCTGGGAGAGACTGATTGTAGCATAGGAATAGGTAAGAGGTCTATTCTTGAGAAAAGGTGTTTATATTCTAAGCCTCAGTTTCTTCATCTGTTAAATTAGGATAACAATGTTACGTCTTACAGAGCTGTCATATAGATCCATTTTCAGTGAAATCTTTGCCATCCAGCGGGCTAAAAAATAGCTACGCCCTCTCTTCCTCACACCATATATCCTAGCATTTCCTCAGTTAATTTTTCTACAACACATTTATCATCATCTCCACATCATATATTTTACTTTTAAAATTTTCTTTATCTCCCTTTCGGATGTAAGTCCCATGAAGGCAGGGATTTTTTTGTCTACTTTATCCTAAATCCCCAACACCTGGAACACTGTCCAATATAGAATCAGTCCTAAGTA